TCGAGATTTTTCGAAATATACTTCTATAGGATAGATTTGATGTTTTATGTCATTTTCTTTTAAAAGAAATGTATCACACATGAAAAGTTCGCATTATAAGAGTGGTTCGCAGGATAATATGGGTTGGGTTCACTAAAAATCCTGACCATATATATATATATATATATATATATATATATTATATATATATATATTAGTGTTGCAAAGATCGGTCTAGGCGGACGATTAATCGGCACTCAAACACTTGACGGTCTCCAACTGCTTATAAATAGGTGTTAGAGGGTTAGCTAGTTGGTTTTGGTTAATATCGGTCAAAGCTAGTCGTAATCGGACCAACTTGGAATCTAAATTGAACCAATTCGGATTGGCTAACTGTAAAAAACACAGCAGCTCATAGGAGTCGACTAGGCTAAAGCTTAGTTGGGTTTGATTCTCAAAGAAGCTAGATCCCCTTTTTATAGAATAAGTTATGCATTTATCTATTATCCTACCAGCGATGTGGGAAACTTTTAAGTCTTTAATACTTTACACAATGGTTTTTTATAACATGTTATAACATCATTGCCATTGTCATCACTGGGAGAGCACCCCCTCCTTCACTAGATCTGAGACCACATCCTTCTTTATCCGAATCATAAATTGCCACAGCTCCATCGAACACCCTCTACACTTCCTATTAAAACGAAAACACGAACACCATCTACCTTCACAATATCGCCTTTTAGTCTGGTTGTGTCACCTTCCAAAATCGTCGTCGCATTCTCCACTCAGAGTTGCTTCCCTTCTCCTCCGACATCATCTATGACTTTAGGAGCCCTCTGACACAAATCCTTATCATCTACACATGTTATTTCTTCAATATTAACTCAGATCAGCTGTTAGGATGTGTTGTGTTGGTATAATTGATTATCTCTGTCGACTTAGATTGTTAAAATCAACTTAATTTACTACTTTTATAGATTGATAAACTCATAAACTCGATTGAAGTTAATTTTAGCAATTCAAGGAATATGTTTATGTCTCGGTTGAAAGAACAGAATTCGAAGTTCATCCCTCGTCAATCTGAATTTCAGGGATATATATCTCATATCCTTCTCGATTCTAGCCCTTTTTATGTGTGTATTTATCAGTAGCAAGAATAGAATTTGAAGTTAATCCCTTAAGATTTGAATTGCAGGTGAACAAGTGCTCCAATTGATGAACATAAGTTCTTATGAACTAGATGAACATGGAATTTCATGTAGTTTTTCTCCTTTCTCATTTTTCTAATTTTAGTATCTAATTGAAGGTTAGTATAGTAGACAAGATGGTTAAGGCATGATTATGGTACTTGTGTTGATTTCAGGCCTTTAAATAATGCTGAGATTGGTTTCTGGTGGATTTCATATCAAAAAAGATTCAAATGGAAGGTCATGGACTTTATGGGTTGCTTTACCCTTGGGAGTTGGAAGAAGTATTTCTTATGGTTTTTATGGATTATGTTGTTCCTTTGATAGGTAAAAGATACACATAGATTTTTTATCATATGTAGTTGGTTTTGGGATAATGGCTTAGTTTGTTGGTGTTTAGTTATGTTGATGGACGGATTTACCCAGGGGTATTATGTGGTGATTATCTGATTGATATATATATATATATATATATATATATATACTAGCCGTCTACCCGCGCAAAGCGGCGGGGCACGTGAGTTCTTTCGGTGATATGTTTCCATTACAAAATTGTTATGTTAAAAAAAAGTACATGTTGAAGACAATATAATCAAACTATGGTGTTATTTGTTACATCATGCATCAAATAACCAATAAAAAGCAACCAGTCAAGACAATACAAAATATTAATCGTGCAATACTTCTTTATACACCACATTTGCTGTATAAACCCCATCACCTTTTGAATTTTCGTTAGGCTGTACTAATACTTTTGTATTGCAACGTGAAACCCCTCTGGACAATGCAACATAAAGTTGTCCATGCGAGAATACTGGTTCTGGAAGATAGATACCTACATATGGAATTGTTTGTCCCTGAGCTTTATTGATTGTCATTGCAAAGCACAATCGAATAGGAAACTGTTTCCTCTTTAGCTTGAATGGGAACATATCATCATCAGATGGACATAAAGGAATCTTAGGCAAAAATATCCTTGTTCCTGCATGTTGACCAACAGCTATTTCTGCATCAATAACATTTTGCTGAAAGCTTCTACATATCAATCGGGTGCCATTACACAACCCATTTGCTGGGTCAATATTCCGTAACAGTATTATCGGACATCCAACTTTTAATCGAAGGTAATGCGGAGGTAAACCACTAACACTGATCGAGTTTAAGAATTCCAACGGATAGAAGCCATTTTTATCATCTATGGCTTCATCGACACTATAGTAAATTCTCTCTTCTCCTTGAAATCGATCGATCATGTAATCGTTAATCGCATCGACACTATCATTTTTTGTAGATAATATTGCCCGCGATATGATATAATCTGATTCAGACCTATTAAATTCCAATGAGGGAAACACTGCATCAATCAAAGAATCTAATGATTTTTCTTTTATCAGTGTATGGAATGACATATCATCAGGGATGCGAATAAAA